TACAATTGGGGTCTTACCTTGACTTGAAGATGAAGTCCATGCTATCCTTCTGGACAACAATCTCTATTATTTTTTTGTAAAAGTCCTCCTTATCTTCCTCTAGTTTCAAAAGTCTAGTTTGTTGTTTGCGTCTATAGAGGCTTCTCAATACTCAAATTTCCCCTCCTCGACTCCTCGGTCCTCCGATAGTGACCCGGAAATGAATTTCAGCGCGCCATTTTGAAGGACATCTAATTTCTCTAAATATACACCGAGGATCGAGCGTCGAGGAGGCTCTCTGGAGGAGCTCTAACCGAGGATACACTGATGGTTCCTCCACGGCTCCTCCACGGATGCATTTCCGGGAACGGTGGAGGCGTGACGCACGGCCGGACTTATCTCAGCCAATGACAGCTGTGCATGCATCCCCTGGATATTATTTTAGAAACTGCTTTCATCGCATTGCGATGTTTCCAGAGAGAACAGCTGTAAGGTCCATGCAGAAAGCAGAGCAGTGTGTATAATATATATCACATCACTCAGTATAACAGGCCAGTTTAGTAGATATCTACAAACAAAGAGTCGATATTTTTCTAAGACCATTGCTTCACATAATAAAATACACAACGGCTTATGCTTTAGGAGCTGTAGGTGTGTGTGGTACAGTGTTGTAGGTGTGTGTTGTACAGTGCGTAAATGCGGCGGACAGACGGGTCTCAGTTGGTTTGGTGTCCTCTGCTTACTTTTAATAGGCCTACTTGTAAATACAACTTTTGGCCCGTAATTTCAATTCCCCATTTCAGCGACCAGAGAGAGGGGGGGATATATCCAGGCTCTGATTGTGTTACGTTATTATGAGAGTGCTCTCATACTTTAAATTGTATATATTTATATAAATATATTTGTGTGTGTGTCCGCATCTGTAGCCTGTTATTGTCTCATTATACCGCACTCTCAATGAATTCAAAGTAAATATGTGGGGGAACAATGTTCAGCTGATCTAACAGAGATACAGCGCTATGACAAAACACTCGACAGCTGATGCAGCTGTTGCCACGTAATAATGAACGGACGTCTCTTTAAAATGACCGCTCAGAGGAGAGGAGTTCTCATTTCTTTAAACGTCTGCTGCTTCCCCTCCTCGGTCCTCCGCTCGCATCTCCTGTGGGCGGGTCTAAGTCTCGAGGAGGGGAACCGAGGAGGGGAGTCGAGGAGGGGAAATTTGAGTATTGAGAAGCCTCTTATACCTTCTCTGCGTAGAATAACAGTAGCAACAAGAACCTGTGGGCTCACTTCCGCCCCCTTCAGTGTGGCAGAGGTTATGGCTGCCTCCCCTGGTGCTTTTTTCATTGCCGTTGTATGATGAGACCAGCGAGCCTAAATATCATATATACGTGAAATAAGTTATTTAGAGACTATGGATGGCGAGGATAAATGTAATAAAGGGATCTACAAACATTACATTGGTGACATACAGTGAGATGGTGCAGGCATGCGCTTAGGGCCTGCTTTCCAGCCAGTTTCTGTGGGGTGACGCATTCTGAGGTGAGGCAGAGCTCATCTGTGCCTCACCTCACCCCACAGTAACTTACTTGAGCGCGCTCACAAAATAAGTGCCCGCGTTAAATTAATGCCCGCGCTCCAGCCAGTTACTGTGGGCTTACGAGAGGCAGAGCTCGTCCCTGCCTCACTTCTCATCGCCACCCGTAGGCCCAATCCCAAACCACTCCCTCGACCCTACCCCTCCGTGATGGAGTGAACTCCGTCTGTAGCCACACTCGCAGCTCAACGAGGCTCCCTCCTGTCAGACGGAGGGAGTAAATACAGCAGCAAGCTTTGGGACGGCCTCCCCTCTCTCCGGCAGAAACAGGATATGCCGTAACTGTATGTAACAAAGGTTTCAAATCAGCATCTCTTAGACAAAAAGTTTAAATGAATAACTCAAATAAAACTCCAAACATCTTTCATTGTGTTTCAAAGCTCTTTTAGTTTTAAACCTGATGTTTATAAGCTTCTTAGTTTTTGCAACAGTCTGTAAATATACACAACTTTATAATAAAATGCACACATTTACCTTTTTCTAGACTAAACACAGGTATGATCCTAAGTTAAAAACATATGAGGTCATCATGAGGTTGTTAACATCGCAGTTTATCAGTGGATGTTTGCTGGAACTACTTGTAAACAGCTTGTTTCCTGACGGACACACACAGCGTTGAGACCGGTCAGGTAGAGACCGGCCTCCAGTCAGCACTGATGCAGACTCGCTGTTTGAGGGCTTGATAGCCCACTCCCCCTCCACACTCGTTGCTTTGGAACAGCCCTCAATATGGCGGACCCTCCGCGTGAACGCGCAAACGGAGGGGTAGGGTGTAGGGGGCGGTTTGGGAATGGGCCGTAGTTGGAGCGGAGCTCGTCAAATTTGCTGATTTTAACTATAAAAAGCGATTGGAATCATACATAAATCACATTTACAACACAGATCAGTGGAGACATTTTATTATTATTACTATTTAGTTTTTCTTTAGTTGTTTTTCCGTTACATTGGAGTATGACAGGTGAGGCTCTGCCTCCCCTGCCTCCCCTGACTGCACGTCGCTGATATCTACCTTCATACCTAGAGGGGCCTGCATTTTCTCTTAGGAGGGTCGTTCAGGTGGTGCTGGAACAGATAAAGGCACATGAACATGTTGTGGGGGAAGAGAACTGGGTCGAGGACTCACCTGTGCTAAGGCCTCCAAGGCATGTTCTGTTCCTGTGTCTTCTCTTTGGTCAAAAGTGTCTTCAACAGAGTCACTGATAGAGGAGAGCTCTCCTCTCAGCAAATCCACAAAGTCTTTGCCACTTAGTTTCGCGATCTCCTTTAACTCTGTGAGATACATTTGTTTGGCTGACTGCACTGCAGGTGTGTGTTCATTGTTAGGAAATGAAATTTAAAACATATAATTAATAAATGGGTGAAAACGGCTTGTGTCCATAATTCGCAGCATTAATATATACCCACATGACAGCTCATTGTTACTTTGTAATTCTACTCCACTACAATTCAGAGGTTAACCTGGTATTTTTACTCCACTACAATTATTTTAGTTACTTTGCAGATTCTTGATTAATGATGTGAAATATAAACAACCCTTAAATCAGACTTTAGTTACACCTGAGTAAAATTCAGGGAAAGGTGATTGTCAAGTGCCAACAATCAGGAGAGATATTTGATAGTTGGTGCTTGAGAAGACTAAACATTTATCTGCAGATCCCTATAAAGTAAATTCATTACTCGTTATTCTCTACTAATAGTTCATTAAAGAATGTATATAATTTAAATATATCTAAAGCCTGACTTGTCCTGTCAAAAGAGGTCAAATTTGTATTAATTAACAGTTCGCCCAGGATATAACTGACCTACAATCTGATTTATTTGCAGGTAAACCAGTGGCCTTTTTGACAAAAATCATCCTGACTGGGCACCGTCTGTCAAATTGGGCCACAAGAGAATTACAGCACCTTCCCCTGCTACACATGCCAGGTATAAACGCGCCAGAAAAAGGTCATCCATCGCACTACTTGATCTCTACAGCATGGTATCTGATATACCATCTCCAGAAGAGCCCGCACCAGTCCTGGGAGCCACTGGGGAAGAAGAAGGAGTGATTGTACCAGAGACTGGCACTGCAACTCAGACTGATTTGACTGGTAAAATGATTGACAAAATGTCATTTGAAATTAATAATGCAACAACAGAAAATGTTAATTTAAAAGAAAAGCTTGTAAAGTCCACCATTTCAGAGTACATTTAAGGGCGATGATGACCGTGTGCGATTCTGCACGGGACTTCCTACTTTTGCCATTCTAATGATGGTGTACAATCTTGTGGAACTGCACATCAGTGTGAACGCTAAGAGTTCACTGTCTAAATTTCAACAATTTATCCTGAAACTAATGAAATTAAGATTAAACCAACCCCTGCAAGAGTTGGCTTATAAATACAACACATCCACGTCTACAGTATCCCGTGTGTTTACCTTAATTATCGACGTCATGTTCAAACGTATGAGTTTCCTTTTGAAGTGGCCATCTCGGGAGGAACTCCAACTGACAATGCCTATGGATTTCCGCACTCATTTTGGTACTAAAGTGGCTGTTATAATAGACTGCTTCGAAGTTTTCATTGACAGGCCATCAAATGTAATGGCACGGGCTCAGACTTGGTCAAACTACAAACATCACAACACCATAACATTTCTGATAGGAATCTGTCCGCAGGGTGTTATATCATTCATTTCAAGGGCATGGGGTGGCAGGTCCAGTGATAAGCATATTACAGAAAATGATGGCTTCTTAGATAACATTTTGCCTGGTGATTTGATTTTGGCAGACCGAGGTTTCAATATAAGTGACTCAGTGGGTTTCATGTGTGCTGAGGTTAAGGTGCCTGCATTCATCAAAGGCCGGAAACAATTATCAATGAAAGATGTTATTGACACAAGGAAAATTGCTAACGTGCGAATTCATGTTGAGCGTGTCACAGGATGTGTAAGGCAGCGATATACCATTTTGGGAGGACCAATTCCTATAGATTTTTTTACTTTCTAAAGATGTAGATGGGATTACATTGATGGATAAAATAGCTGAAGTGTGCTGCGACCTGAATCATTTGTGTGACACTGCAATACCCGTTGATTGAGCCTTTATATTGTTACATCCCAATCAACCCATATCAGATTTAAAAATATTACATGTTTGTATTATAATTATTATTGCATTATTGTCAATGTTGTACTTGGTAGATTATATTTCTTGATAATCAGAGCAGTGATTTGGGGGTTGGTTGTGTAGGGGAATGTTTGAAAACTTATTTAAGCTGTTTTCAGGCATGGAAGATTAATGTTTTTCTCAGGTTTTCTATTGTCAGATTGGACACATCCCAAATTGCTTGAATGTGGTTTCAGACCTGCACTGCGCACTGGAATAGTACTGGTAGAATATTTAAGCTTGGGTAAATACATTTTTGAAAAAAACAATTGAAAGGGCAAAGTATTATATTTATTACAGGTTTCCAATGTACCCAGTGAAAAAGGGTGAAAAACAAGTACATGCTCCTTTAACTGTAAGCTGCAGAGATCACCTCACATAACAGAGATAGATTAACATTGTGTCCATATTACAGTTTTTTTCAATGCTATAACACATTTTTTGAAAGCAGGGCTTATTTTCACAAAACACTAAACACAATTCACAAAACCATACACACAAAGTGCAAAACACCTGATATATACTGCAGAATGAAGCACTGCACCATAAACACTTACCAAAACCAAACTTTTGCACCAAATGGCACACACTTCATTCATAGCACAAGACATTTTGTAAAACCAACTACACACCATCGTGCTCAAGCACACTCATCTTTTATGGCGTTTGATATAGAGAATTCTGCAAATAAAGATTGTTCAAGTCTCCAAAATATGTGCAGAAACACAAATATACTGTTGTTATACTTTTACTTTTCTAAAAGTGGAAAGTTGAATTGCAAATTGGGTGCAGAGCTGAACATGTGTTTAGAGTTTTGGATATTTGAGCTGAGGTTTTGCTCTTTGAGTGTCAGTTTAAATAATGATGCTTTTTGTGTCATTTTAGTGTGCACAACCTTTTTTGATTGTTACACATTCATGTTCTTTATATAGATTTGATGTAAAAGAAACATGTTCAATCAAATACATATATACACTGTCATTCAGATTGATTAATACTTCTGTTTCTTTTGAGAGGGGACATGCTGATGACATTTGTCACAATACTAGCTTCCTTTGAGGGCAACTGTTATACCAACACATTCAAAATGAAACCAGGTAGTTTCACAATTTGTGTTATCACATCCTATCATGGGAAGCTTTTCCTCTCCACGACAAAGGCACCACTTGGGTATCAGTGGTTGGGTATCGGTTGGCTGAGTCAGAGTGGCACATAGAGCAGGGTCTGGTATCAGGCAGAGAGGCCTTTTTGGTGCAGTAATGGAGACTGGTGTAGTTACACTGGAAATTCTGGTGAAGAATTGCCCACTCAACTCGAGGAGAATGACCTTCTGAAAGAATTAATGAGCTTTGGGATATACCTTCTCCCAAAAGTCAATATCTGGGGTTATGCGTTCAAGATGAATCTTTCCATTCACCCACAGAACAAAGTCAGCATATTCAACATCACATAGAAATAACTGGGTCTGCACTTGATAGAAATAGACATGGGTCTTCTTCAGCCTGTCCTGTCCATCACGTGATTCCAGACATGTATGGTCTGACGGTGCAGCAACACAGTAGAGGCATTTCATTTCCAAAACCATTTCCAATTAGTCTAATAAAGTCCATAGTCTCGAGAACCATTTAAACTTGTAATTTTCATTCTACGTTAAAGTATGCGGAATCTGTATGGGGTCAAAGTGGGGTGTTTTTGAGCTCTGTTCAAATGGATTTCCCATTCATTCCTATGGGGCAAATGATCGCAGTTTTCTGCGATTTGCGTGAAAACGGCTTGGCAAATCTCTTATAAAAGACACAGCAACCCGATCCCGGTCATTCCGCACGGTTTGATGGGTTTTTTGTGTGTTTCATGTCAACGCTGCCGGACGAGTAGCATGACAACATTTGTGGCGAAAGAAGGAGAATAAGATGAGATAAGTATGTCGAATACTATACTGTGTGGCTTCGCCATCACACAGAATTACACGGGAGCATGTACAGTACACTAGGTTTACAGTACAAAACACATTGCATTTCATTTTTTCAACGGTTTCTGTCTGATAAAGATTTCAAGTTTTTTCTCATGATAAAACAATACATTATTTGTTAGTATAATAAATGCTTTAGAATGACTGTTCATTCAGTGCATTTTTCATGAAACCTGTGTTCTTTCCGGCAGTCCATGTATCAAGTGTAGGTTTTCCCTACGGAAGACATTCTTCTTGAAACAACAACAATTAATGAACAAAATAAAATGACAATACATTTACTTTCTTACACACATAAAAAACATCACATGACAGTTGTGTGTAGTGTGATGGTTGTGTAGTGAAATCTTAGCACGAGTATCACGTTTCCTATGATACTGGAAGCAGTGCGGACTCAGCTGCTGCAGGTCAGACATCTGTCGTTTTGCTGCGCTTGCTTTCACTGAAATAACAACAAAAACACACTCAGTTAGGAAAAGGAGAAAGGCCACACTATTGTGTCCAGGGTTGGGAGGGTTACTTTTAAATCTAATTAGTGCCTGTTTATTTGTTTTACTTGTGGGTTGGGAATTATTTTCATAGCATCACTTTGACATAATGTTCCATTCAAGGTATATTTATCTGGGTTCAGATAGCTTCACTGTTCTAAGTATGCTTTGTGTTGGTGTGAATCTGAATCTATCAAATGCTTCCAAAAATTAAGAGGGGAAATTGTCCCAGTTCTGCTCTGCAGCCATGGTTTGGACAGATTCTATGGACTCTCAGTATGTTTTTACAGAACTCAAGATACACTTTTTCAATTTGGTTTGAGTCCCAATGCTCTTGTTTTAATCAATCTCTCTCTTTCTCTCTCTCTCCAAAATGTATTCACTTCAGGTTTACGAAAGTAACTATAATCAGATTGGTTCATGTGTTGCTCTTGGGCACGCTGCCTACCGTAGCTCCTCTTTCAGACGGTCCAGTTTGTCGTGCAGCCGATCATTCTTCACCTGAATGGGGTTGTTGGGAACGAACCAGGCAGCAATGAACTTACACACCACCACTACATGCTACAGGAAAAACAAAAGAGAACATACACAGAAACTATTTCACTGCGTTCTTCAGTTCATATTCACAGCACTGACGAAGAAATGATGGAGTACACACCTCAAACAGGATTACGAAGGCAAAGCGCACAGCCAAAACCAACCAGAACTGAGAAGTCAGATTGTAGTCTTCATCACTCCTATAGTCTCTGTAGCTGCAGGCACACACCACACAGAGAGTCCCGTTTATCACATCTGTGACAGGTTTATATTTAATAGTTGGATTAAATCTCCTCACCTGCACTGCGTGACATTAAAGCCGCCTGTGATCATCTGATCTGGAATAAAGTCAGTTCTAACTGCCTGGTGTCTTACATAAGCCGTGGAGAGAGTGTCATTTATGTAGCCCTGCATGCAGCTGCAAAGAGATCACAAACAATCATGGTGACACACTATACAGTTGGCCGACGTGTAAACATACATTAGTCCCAGTCCCAAAACTCACTGTGTGGAAGTGCTTCCATTAGCACAGGGTCCATAACGATAACGGTAAACAAGGCGTGGAATGAAGTCTGAGGAGACTCCAATAACCAAACCATTAGCAATCACTGCTAACACACCAATGATCTCCAACACCTTTGTCCACACACCTGCAGACAGAGGACAGTGCTGTTACACTACTCACACACCTGCACACAGCATAACCAACGGCAGACTGAAGGAACTACCAGAGAGAGGTATTGTCACTTCACGTAACGTCTTGAAAAACAAGTAACTTTGTATCATCATCGAAAAAACTGACTCATCCAAATATGATTCATGCATTATGTTAGGAAGCGTGGTGAAAAGAGGATCTTTACATGAACAGCATTCAGGAGTCTTCAGATCACATGGTGGCAGATTTTCTTACCATCCTAACAATTATTCTTAGTCATTTCAATCTGTGAGATGTTTTGCTAACTGACACACAAACAGGACACACTTTCACATAGTTTGTCGTTTAATAAATACATTAGATCCCTGTACATGTTTCAGTATAGGTGAATGTTATTGCAACAGGATGTGAAACGTTTCCTGTGGACTGATCCTTTATTTAAGGTTCTTTTATGGGCTACTGCTCTCATGTATTATTACAGTAACAGACACACAGCTCACCAATGTCGTTGGTCTTTCTAGGGACCAGCCGGCGCTCCAGGCGGACCATTTTGATGGCGTCAAGACGGATCTCGAAAATGTTATTGATGAGAGCAAGCAGGGGGGCCAGGGGGAACGCTGCCACGAATATGGTGGTGAAACTGAACTGGACCACTGGAGGGGAAGGACAATAAGTAAGATAGAAAGGTAATTATTCAAGGAATGTGGAAAGTGCATTATGAATAAGTGAAAAAAGTTCTGAGAAATGGGTGTTGTTTAAATACTGTTGCATAAGAAAGAATAATAGGATTTACCACTTGAGGATTTTCTATATACAGCAGGCAACACATATTGAATTATGTTCACATATGTAAGTTCTGAAGTGATTGTACTTACCTACTTATTTGTCTATATTGTATTCTAGTACAACTAATGTGTGCTTTTCTTCTATATTAATATGTTAGCTTATTGTGTATTATTACCTGTCATGCTACTTTTGCAAGTCATTTCAAGCCTTTCATTAGCGTGAGCGTATGCAGAAGCATGCGGCCGCCTGAAAAAAAACTATTTTAGTGTGGACGTTCTAAGCACTTTAAGATGAAATGATTTCAACTTTTCAAAAAACATCAACAACGTCACTGTAGAAATTGGAGGAAAATCTGATTTGAAACGAAAAATGATCATAATTCAGATCTGCTGGGCAGACCCTGATGTGTTGCACTTTAATATGCATGACATTTACTTCAATATGCACAACATTTAGTTTAATATTTACAATCTTTATTTTCATGCAGTATGTACGACGTGAGTGAGTGTTTTACTTTTATCTCCGTATGCAGATCTTCCTCCTCGCTGTAAGGCTGTCAGACGGAGCGGTGATAACCTCATTCAAACTTAGTGTGAGACTAACAATCCTCCAGTGGATGTTCATGCAGCAATGTCAAACTAATATATAGCAGCATAAACAAACAATCCAAAGGAGCGATGCTAGTTTTTCACAGTGATGGTTCATTGTACAGATATTGTTGTCATAAAAACAGTAGAAGTGCCGGGAGTTTTTTTTCTTCTATAGGCCTGTAGTATAGGGAGAGCAAATCCAAATAGCCTTTATTTGATAATGGGTTTTAATTCCTTAATTTTGAAAGTATTATTTATTTGTGAAAAAGTGGATGGCTTTTGCTAAAGAGTCTTCTTAACAACAAATCTCATCTCTAAAGAAGAAACGTTTTTGTATAGTTCTGCCCTTGAGTCTGCTCTCGTATTATGCCCATGCACAAACAAACTCTTCAAATCAAGATAACTTAACCTAGTGCAGACATTGCAGATGTGTCAGGACTTCACAAGGATGCTGCACAAGGATACAATCCCTCGTGGAGCTAGAGAGTTGGGTTTTTGGTTGTGAGTGTCAGCGCAGACTGTGGACATACCCATCTCCAGGAACTCATTGAACAGACTGAAGGCATCCGTGTGGGCCAGGTGATAATTAGACAGCCAGTGGCGAAGTTTGCAGACGTCACATGGTTCAATGCGTCCCTGTTCGTCACGGCAGGCCTTCCTGTAACAGTGACCGCACTTCCTCTGCAGCTTCTTTGCTGTTTTTCTTCTCAGACAGCTCTTTAACCAACTGGAAAACACAACATTTTGACATGAATGCAAAGTAACTGTGATTTTCAATGGACACTATAACCATTGTTGCCTAATAGTAGATCCTAAATGAAAATACAGCACACTCACGGCACAATGAACTCAAAAATGTTGTTGAGAGTCTGTTTGAGCAGCATGATAACAGCCATCTGGATGAAGAGGTCTGTCAAACAACCGCTAGGATGGCACTACAACACACAAAATATATCGTAGAATAAGAAATGTGGTGCAAACATGCTTTATGAAAGGCAAAAAATAACTAAAATCCTAAACTAAAACTAAAGTCTCCTCACCTCCTCCAGTCTCCATCCAGCGATACGGACATAGTTCCCTGGATGGCCGTTAATCCTGTGACAACAAAACTTTAGCTTCACATCAACAAAGAGCATTTTGAAACTGGCTACAGTCCTCCTGTACTACAGTACATGAGACAGCAGTACATGCTGAGGAAAAAGGGACAATAAGAGGTTTGATTTGGAAATGTTAGCAGCGGCTTTGTCAATGCTTTATCTAAGTGTCGGATATGTGCTGGACTTCATGAGATCATTTAGAAATAGTTAAATCCAAGCTGATCTGTTATAATATCTAACCAGTCTGTTATTGGCATTTCTTCATCACAACACCACACATGTTTGTTTTATCTCCCCCCAAAATACAAGTAAATATAAGTATTTTAAACTTGTGGTTGATCATGGTTAATAACAGTATTATTGGGATTAACACATTTGTTTGCCCAATTGACACCAATAGTTTTAATCTATTATTTCAGACGGAGATATATATAATGTTTTAGCTACTCAGCTATGAGTTATTTATAAAAAGCGGGAGCAACATGGAGGAGAAGTGGACTAAGTTCACATCTCCAATGAAGTTGGGACGTTGTGTAAAACATAAATAAAAACAGAATACATGATTTGCAAATCCTTTTCGACCTACAGTATATTCAATTAAATAGACTACAAAGACCAGATATATATCTACTTTATGTTTTTATGCAAATATTTAGTCATTTTTTATTTGATTCCTGCAACACGTACAAAAAAGCTGGGACAGGGGCAAGAAAAGACTGGGAAAGTTGAGGAATGCTGACAAAACTCCTGTTTGGAGCATTCCACAGGTGAACGGGTTGATTGGAAACAGGTGAGTGTCATGATTGGGTATAAAAGGAGAAACCCAGTGGGGCTCAGTCGTTCACAAGCAAGGGTGGGCGAAGTTCACTACTTTGTGAACAACTGCGTGAGCAAAAAGTCCAACAGTTTAAGAACAATGTTTCTCAACGTACAATTGCAAGGAATTTAGGGATTTCATCATCTACAGTCCATAACGTCATCAAAAGATTCAGAGAGAGACTTCCGGTATGAAGAGTGAGGAGTAGACGTGTTTTCCTCCGCTCCCTCGCTTCCAACTTTTTTATTATGTAGAAACCTCGTTACTCACTTCATACTTACACTAGTCGATACATAACATCTGAGCAACTTTATACCTTAAGGCAGTGGTTCCCAACCTGGGGGGCGCCAAAGATCGCAGGGGGGGCACCAGGCCTCAGATGATTTGAGGCCAAATATCACATTAAACTTTTTTTTTTTTTTTTTTTTTTTTTTTTTTTACATATAATTGTAAAGCAATTGTCCCTAAAAGCCTTGTCTCTACATTACAATAATACAAACAATTGCTTAATTGATTAATTAATTTGAATAACAATTCAAGTTAGTAGCTATTAAAAAGGCATAAAAAGACAGAAATGTTCTTTCTTTCTTTAATAGAAATGTTTCTTCTGCCCGTAAAGTGTCCAAACCAGGCTTTTCTGGATAAGCACATTTTTAAAACATAGTCATGCTGGTTTCAGTTGGATTATTCGTCAGTTGCTCCGATGAGATCGTTCTCTTTTGAATCCACATAAACACATCGGCAAAATCCGGCACAGTTTAATCCATTTGTGAATTGTTTCCACTTCCGCGCCGTCATTTAATTTCCGCGCCGTCATTTAATTTCTTCATACAGCGGGAATCCAAATGAATTAATCCTGAGTCCAATAACCATCAAAGTCACTCCAATAGTGCTCCTTAATTACGCTTTCATCCTCCTTTAACAAAATACTTCACATTCATCCAGTATGTGCCAGTAGTTGTAGCATTTTTGAGACTTTAATTACCGCTGTTGCAATATCCGCATCATTGGTCTCCCGGAGTCGATTGAGGGCAAGTGACCTACTTCTCCGACCTACTACCCCAGCTTCCCTACTTCTCCGACCTACTACCCCAGCTTCTGGGGGACCAAATCCTGCCTACTTCTCCTGAACTGGTCTGGGCTCACAGGTCGTTAGGCGCGAAGCCAAAGCTTGGGGAAAGACCGAGGCCTGTCATCATCCGATTCCACAACTTCCAGACCAAAGAAAGAGTCATCCGTGAAGCCCGGAAAAAGAGAGCGGATCTACGGTACGAGGGGAAATCGATTGCCTTCTACGAAGATTATATTCCCGAGGTTGTGATGCAGCGAGCTCTTTACCGCGAGGTGATGGCGCAGCTGTATAAACTCGGACTCAGGCCTGCTCTCCAGTACTCCAAGCTGATGATTACGGTGGAGAATGGAGACAAAGTTCGACTGTCATCTGTCGAGGAAGCTAAGAAGTATCTTGCCGCTAAACACAGTGATGCAAACACAGGTATGGTGAAAAAAGAGAGAACTATTCGAAGCAGAAAAAAAACAGCGTAATATACCATCTGACAAAGGCCTGTGCTATAATGCTTCAATTAACTGCTATTCTTTATAATATACTCAGATCAATAGGAGACAGAGATGTTAAGTTATAAATCAAGGGTTTTCATTATTATTTACAGCAGGGGTGGGGAACCTTTTTCCTTTCAATTTTTACAACATCCTGCGAGGGCCGTATAAATGATTGAACTCAACCTCTGCTTAAAAAAAACTAAAATCACAGCCCATTCATTTCGCCTTTCTTTCATTCTGTGCAAAGAAAAAGCAACCTCTTAATCCAGATATCTCACCATGACTCACGTATGCATGCATGTGCACGGTTGTGGCATGACCACCAAAACAGAAAGATATGGACACAGATGTGTGCAAATGTATTTAGTATCCTATCCATGTGAAGCGGGAGGTGCCGAAAAGCGACTAATTTGCATCACTGTAAACAGAGGTAGCATGCACTGCTATAAAACACAGTAGCTATGGTCGGCCCATCTGCTAACTTGCCACATTACTGAGTGGTCTAATTTAGCTGCTCGTTAGGATAGCCCGGACTGCACTATTGCTACGCTGAACTGTACGGCAACTAGTCATGTTACTCTACGAAGGACTCCCTGTAAGCACATTTTTACTGGTCACTGTTTCTAAATATAGCACTTTAAGTTGAATGTCAGTCTCAGTGTTTACATACGTTTGTGATTAGCTGGTTGTGCTCAGATAATTGGTGTTATTCTGCCAGGTTGATGTTGGTTATGGCAGCAAACTCAGGGTTTTTTTAATGGGGAAATTGTTCACTGTTCAATGTAGAGGGAACGGAGGTTAAGTAAGGGAAGGATAGGACTGGAAGGAAGGAAGGTTTGTATCCAAGGAGATACACATGTTTGATGTTCCCAATGGGACTGGGGTTTGCTGTGTGTGTGTCTGTTTATCCCCCCCCCCCCTTTTCCTGTTTTCTCTTATTTTATTCTCTGCTCAGGTTATGCCACAACTTAAAGGACTATGTCAGTGAGTGGTAGAAATATCCGGTTTATTTCCTGGAACGTTAAAGGGATGAACATCACTAAAGCCAACAAGGTAATTTCACATTTGCAACACCTTAGACATCTGCTTTTTACAAGAGACACACCTCCATACGGCGGAAATGTCTCTCGTCAAGAGGCCATGGATGGGTCACTTGTTTCATTCAAGGTTTTCCGAGAGGGCTAGAGGGGCAGCTATCATTATACACAGGGATATTGCCTTTGAACTAAACACTACTATATCTGATCCGAACGGCCGGTACGTTATAGTATCTGGCAAATTACAAAATACTCCTGTGGTCCTGGCCTCGCTATATGCTCCGAATTGGGACGATGACAAATTAATATCCAAATTCTTTACTTCTATACCTATTCTCAATGAGCATCAAATTATAATTGGAGATGACTTTAATCTGGTCCAGGATATAGAGCTTGATATATCGTCCACTAAGCAGTCTACTCTATCTAAATCGACCAAAGTCTTAAAATTCCACGCCGACCAGCTGGGCTTGAGGGACCCGTGGAGGACTAAGTTTCCCTCCAGTAAAGTTTTCTCTTTCTTTTCACATGTCCACCACACTTACTCACGGATATACTTCTTCTTACTTGACGATAAACTATTACATAACGTTCTTTTCTGTGAATACCATAGCATAGTTATCTCCGACCATGCACCCACTTCTGTAGAAATCAATTTTTCCCATGGTAGACCACCCTCTAAATTCTGGAGATTTAGCCCTCATTTGCTGTCCGAACCCAAATGTAAGGCTTTTTCTTTGAGATAAACGACACTCCGAATATTGGTAGTGATATACTCTGAGAGTCCTTTAAGGCTTATCTTCGTGGGCAGATCATTTCTTATGTCTCACATTTCAGGAAATCGGAGCAATCCAAATTGACAGACATTTCAGCTGATATCCGAAATTTAGACAGCTGGTTAATCGCACCTCTATTTTGTATAAAAAACGGCTTCAGCTTCAATCTCAATTTGATCTGTTATTAACTGGTAAGATCGAGAGGCAACTTCTGCAAACCAGGCAACGATTTTTTGAGCAGGGAGATAAGGCAGGCAAACTGCTTGCATATCAATCGCGAGTGGCCGGTGCCTCCAGGTTGATCCCTAGAGTGAAGTCGCCAACAGGTGATATTACAACAGACCCTGCTGAAATCAGTAATATCTTTTCAGACTACTATTCTGAATTATACACCTCAGTCTTCTCCACAGGATTGGGACAACCCTAACCCCTTAGACACTCTAGCTTATCCCCAAGTTGATGGAAGAGGTTCTGGTGATCTGGGAGCTCCGTTAACCATCTCTGAAGTAACAGAGGCTATCAAATCTTTACAGAGTGGTAAATCGCCTGGTCCTGATAGCTACTCCACAGAGTTTTTTAAAAACGTTTTGTTCTGTACTTGCCCCGATCCTGCTGAGAGTATCCAATGATGCCTTTCTGAAAGGCCAGTCACCACCTACTTTGTCTGAGGCATCAATCACTCTATTGTTGAAGAAAGATAAGGACCCACTCTTGTGTGGCCTTTATAGGCCGATATCCCTTTTAAACGTAGTCTTTAAGATCATGGCTAAGGTTCTATCTAGCCGTCTCCAGAGAGTGATGCCGGGCC